AGACCTAGGAAGATGTAGAAGGACTGCATTGCGAGGGATGTGCGGAAGAAGTGCTGCCTTGCCCTCATCAGCCTGCTTGACAGGGATGCTTGAAAAGGTGTGAGAGCACGTCAACTGCTGCCTATCCTAGTCACTTGGAAACCCACAGAAATATAATCAAAGCTCTGAATCTTGCTTGACTTGATGGCACATTGAAATCAAATGAAGAAGAGAAAAGCCGTAAATAATGTACCTAACACATTTGAAGAGATCAATGTTGGAAATTACTTCAAAGAGGGATTGTAAGGAAACAAGTATTTCTGTGAGAAATCGTGGAGAACCATGAACATACACAAACCACAACAAAAATCAGATGAGGATTTTGAGGTGGTCACCCATCTAATTATTAATATAGTTACAATTTTGCTTAACTTTATTGAAAAAACAAGAACAAGTGAAGTTAGTGTAATTTGATCACAAGTTAAAAGGGCAGCTGTTGAAATTATTAAATGTCACTTTTCCCATTGTAAATAAAGTGAAGAAAAGAAGTTTTTAATATTGTCCGATTGGATATTTTGAAAGATAAGATAGCAGATCTAATAATTTCAAAATCTAAAAGAATAAAACCTTTCAAAGATTGTAATTGAAAGTCCAAAAATATCCATAATATTCTTGTATTGTTTAGATTGAGGAATAAAGGCTTTTATTACATAAAAGGAGTGTCTATTTAGTTTGGGCCTGACAGAGATAAATATCTATTTCGCAAATATTGAATATTTCTATTTGTTTTAACACTTAACATAACTGATGATATTTAAGACCAGCAGGCATTAAATAAAAATGGTGAAGCTCAGGCTATTGCTTTGGATAAATGCAGGCATTTGAAAGTGTTTGGCATGCTGGTCTTCTTCACAAGTTGAAAGGTTATGGTATTTCTAGACCAATTTTTGATCTAATTCAGTTTTTCTTATCTAATCGTGAAATGAAAGTTATTTAGACTGGCCAATCTTCTCAATCTTTTTGCATTAATACAGGTGTCTCTCGGGGCTGTATTCTTGGACCTATACTGTTCCTATTTAGTTTGGGCCCGATTGTAGATAAATATTTATTTAACCAATGTTGAATATTTCCATTTAATTTAACATTTACCATAACTGATGACAAATTAAGACAAAATGGCTTTTAAATCCCATTCCCCATTTCAGCAGAAATACTAAGAAAAAATATTGGTTAATATCTTTTTATACTAAAATTCGCCCAGTACAAGGCTGGAGTGACTCAAAATGGAGGATAACTGGTAAAATGGTTGTGGTGTGTGATATTAATGAATGGTGAGGTGGTTTGGAATTGAAGATTAAAGGAAGACAGATGAGAGTTGACCTTGGCTTGAAGGGTTAAAAATATAGTTTTCAGAGTAGCATCTGTACAAAAATCAGTTCCACAAAGTTCTTGGGAAAAAAGCCATGAAACTTCCTTTTTACATTTGGAACATGGGGGAAATGAGGGTGATATGACTCTGTGGGATATCCTAGCTGTAAAGGTTAGAACTGGCACAACTAAAGAATAGAGTGCTCATCTGAACACTTGCTATGGAAATAGCAATAGAGCAGGAATAGGCCTGTGAAGTTTATGTTTGAAAAAACTGCAGATAATAAAAATCCCCACTATACAGCATAAATGATTTAGAACACATGTCAAGGCGGGTAGAATTTTACAGCTCCATCTCCACCACAGATATGGCAAAAATATTCTGTTTTCGGTCTAATAAAAGATTTCTCTTTCATTTACACCAAAAGCAGGCTATTGACCTATTCAAGATATTATTCTAATCATGATTATTATAAATATTATTTCAGACACAATGTTTCGGTCAGGTACGCTCTCGTCATCATCAGATGTTTATTCTTATTTTTGATTTTCAATGAATGAATGCAAAGTAGTTGACAGGCAGTAGAGCAGTCAAACCAGGTAATGAAGCATCACATAAGGTGAGGCTGAACTGTGTGTAGTAAAATTCATCAAGTGGTAGGCCGTGAAGCAGAGCACATTCTCTTCTGATGATACTGGGACCTCCTGGTATCTGAGAGATGGAGCATTTGATTAGCAGCATTTGCAGTAGCCAGCTGTTCTCAAATTCCATAGTTTGCCTTATTTGTTTTATTACTCTTATCTTTGATTGTTATTTATTATAGACACAATGTTATTTATTATAGACACAATGTTTCGGGCAAAAAATGCTAACCATCTTCATTTATCCATTATTTCAGGCTGACATTGGTTATTTCTGTGTTTTCTTGTTCATTCCTGCTGAACTGACATATATTATTTCACTACCTGTTCTTGGGATTGAACTCATTACCACTAAGTAACTTCAGTAAGTAACACCTGTATCCATTATGCCATTATTCTGAAGGGCATCAGTAGTATATTTTAGATATTTTTGGTCCAATATCAATTAGTTTGGATATTTAAAATGGTTATATTTCATTATTTTCCCCTCTTAGTAAACATTGATAGTTCAATTTGTTGACCATATCAGATATTCATAAGTGTTCACCCAGCTAAGTATTGACCAACATCATCATTGCTTAACTTAGGCAAATTGCTACTTTTGATGCAACATGACTATTAAATGGAAAAGGAAGTATTGCAATTGATATGCGTCATTATTTTTCTGGATAAAGAATCCTAATTTTATCTGTGTTCCAAGTTTCATTTATCTGGGGTTAATTCAAGAAATAAATTTATATGATTTAATTACTAATGGTACTAAAACACAATATTACAGATGTTGACAATTTGGATCAAAGAAATTGAAACCATAAATTGATTTCTACAAACAAAAATGGTGAAAGTTTTTGACTTAATAAAGAAATCAAATCATAGACTGGATTTGATAAAATTCCCTGTGAGTGTTAAATTCTCCAAACTTTCTTTCCTCATTATGTGCCCTAGAAATTTTAACTGACACTTTCTGATTCAAAGTATAAGTTTTTTTGTTTTTTTTTAAGTAAGGTTCAACCTGTACAAGGCACGGGAGCCACTCAAGGTAAAGTGCTATGTTAAAGGGGAGTTATTTGGATAGGAGGAGGAGATAATGGTTAATTCTGGACTTGAACAGGTTAAGATTGTAATGACCAGGGAAACATCCTCATGGGAGTCTGTTCCATAGATCATAGGAAAAAGCTGTTTGAGTCAAATACGGAAGGAAGGAGGATGGTTTGTCACTATTTAAACGGCCTGGTGGGTCCTAGCCATAATAGTCGGAGCTGGTAGGACCAGGAGATGTAGTTCATCCAAGCACTTTCCATGGTAGTAGCAATAGAGCAGTGAGAAGCTCACCACATCCTGATTGTGAGAGAGAGGTTGGAGGTTGGAAAATAATTTTTCTCCAACAAGGATTTAAAGACAATTTTGAACTCTATGGAAAACTGAAAAGTGCAAGGGTCAGTTTTGAACAGCTCAAGACCGAGGTATGGCAACAGTACTTCATTTCAGTTTTGAACTCTATCAAGACTAGAAAGTGAGGTCTGAACAGCTCTTGCCTAAATATGGCAACAGTACTTCATTTCAGTTTTGAACTCTATCAAGACTAGAAAGTGAGGTCTGAACAGCTCCTGCCTAAATATGGCAACAATACTCCATTTTCGGCCTAATCTGGCTCTTATAAAGGTAGAAGACTGCAAGGGGGTGACAGGTACTTACGAGGACGGCACAGGGAGCTAATCATTTTACTTGCATTTTTAGCGATGGATCATATATAGGAATTTCACTTGAGGTCGGGTATGAGCTTGAGGCCCAATATCCTCTCAAAGCCTGGTGCCTCCTGATGGGGACACCTGTTCATCATGACTGGCCGTAGTTTGGGGTCTGATCGGCAGTAATGGAATGTAACCAATTTGGTTTTAGAGTTTCATTTATGTTTCCAATTTCCTTAAAGCTTGTTTGTTGCCAACACATGCCATCCATGGTATTCTCAGCATCCTTGTGTAGAATCATATCTCTGTTGCTTCAAATCTTCTCTTCCTTTGTGTGGAAATTGTCCTGCATTCCCTACTATTTAGATGAAATGTTATTATAATTAACTAGCGAGCTAGGTAACAAGATAGACAGATAGATACGTAGAGAGCTAGAGAGGGGAAATATGATATATAGATTTATATAAATATGTGAATTTCTATATAAATTTTTATATACACCGTTGGGTAATTGAATGACACCATGAAAAAATTCTGTTTTGATCCTGTCAAAGGTCTTTGGCAGAGTAAAACAATGTTCTTATTCATGGAATCTATAAAAGGCAGAATGTGTGTGTGTGTGTGTGTGTGTGTGTGTGTGTGTGTGTGTGTGTGTGTGTGTGTGTGTGTGTAACGAATGCATGGCCACAATTTTAGATGGATTGACACCAAAATTTACATGCACATGCTCCAAGTTAGTGGAAAAGCCAAGACCGACTTTGCATTTCCCAACTCCCATCGATAATGGAAATAATTGATTTTTTTCATGTAGTTTGCGGCCATTTTCTACTGACCAGAGTGAGAGACTATAGCTAGCTGCCACAAACTCAACGTCGATTCTGATTCTGCAGAACTGGGTGTGAAAAGCATTTGTTGTTAACATTCTTTTTTTTTCATTCGGTTTTTCCAGTTACGAGTCCTTTTTAAAGCTGATCGTTTTGTATTCATTTTGTTTAGTTCTTCTTTCGTAACAGATTTAATGTTTAGTATAGAGCTTAGAAAAAATTTTCAGTGTGAGATAGGCAAAAATAAGGCATGTAGCAACATCAGCACGGAAAAGGGCACTCCTTTAAAAGGCAAGGAAGGGCAAAAATATTTGAAGTCAAGTGATAGCGATTGCTTTATGAGTCGTACGATTTTTGAATCAAGCACAGGCAACGCCGAGCCATGCTGCTAGTTATATATATATATATATATATATATATATATATATATATATATATATATATATATATATATATATATGGGGGAGAAGAAATATAAATGTAATTTATATGCTTACAATTATGCACTGAGGAGATGTTGAGTTAGATAGACTGAGATAGATAGATTGAGATAGCTAGACAGACAGATTGAGATAGATAGATAGATAGATAGATAGATAGATAGATAGATAGATAGATAGATAGATAGATTGAGATAAAAAGAAAAAGACAAGGTTAGGATTAAATAGATAATACTCCAACTTTTAAATATTAATTCCCCTAAAGAATAAGATTACCCAACCAAAATGTCCTTTCCTTTTATATGAAATTAGGAAAACAAGTATAATTCTTAGAAGTTCAACTTAGCAACGAGACAGAGCTGTTGACATTGTCACTTTATGGCCATAAATAATGGCAGATCCAATTCCACTTTTGAGTTGTTCGTTTAAAATGGGTCAAAGATTGATGAATTGAAATTGTTATTGAGTTTTCTTCCAAACGATATGAATAAAGGAACGCTCCACGCCCAGGGTTGGATTAGAAAGACTCAGGGTGAAAAATCAACCACAATATCTGAAAATATTAAAAATAAAAAAAAAGAAGTGGATTTCGGAAGAAGTGAATTGATATGTCCTTTGAACTTCTTGAAGTTGATCTTTTGAAAGGGAAATGTGAGGGCTGGATTAATTTGTCTGAGTGATGATTTTTAAGATTAAACACCAGATAGGATGGAAATGTAGTGAATTGGCACTGAGATTCTGAGACAGATTTGAATCCATCAAAAAAACAGTATTCTGGAATTTATCAGATAGTTTTCAAGGTGGATTGATTATTTCTGTTTGCAATGCCTATTGTACAAAAAGCATTAGAACCAGAAATCATCATTTGTTTCAAAACATTTTTTCTTATTACTATAGATAAGTGGTTCCTAAATGGTGTGTCACACCTCATAGGTGTGGCAGAAGAGGATAGCAAGTGATGTGGAATGATTGAAAGACAATTAAATATGTAGAAACAGTTTCAAAAAAATCATATGCCAAAAATAAATATGGTTTCAAAATTTAAAATATTATCATCGATTACTTGTAATGGGTCCCAGTTTTAAATAACTAATAATCAATTTTATTATTGTAATATGTTTGCATTCTATCAAGTATTAAGACTATAATAACTAATGCCCACAAATTGGAGGAGAGAGTTATCAATGATAATGTTCTGATTTCGAATCTGTGGTTATCTAACTTTAACACTAGAACACTAACCATGGGTACCTATAGTACCCAGCGCAAATTTTCCTATTTTTAATTACAATTTTCAGTACCTGATTTTCTTACCTAAATAATACATTTTTCAGTTCCTATTAATGTTAACTCAAAGTACAAAGTTTGAAGTGCCTGCATGTAAAATATTTCAAATAAGTATTTATATTTAATATTTTTTTTGATATTTTCAAAATCGGGTATGATATACCCATGGTTAGTAGTGGTGTAACTTTAATTGATGGTTAGTGTTCAAGGGTTAATCCTCTCTATGGTTTTTTTATTTTTATATGTACTTTTTATCACATAGAATTTGGTGTGGTGTGAGCCAATTTTCATTCTGAAAATGTGGCTCAGAGAAAAAAATGTTTGTGAACAACTGCTATAGATGAAGCCATCTAGATTATAAATGTCAAAAGAAAAAAAAATCTATTAATTTTATCACTGTTAATAGGTAGCCCCGTTTGTGATGTGTTTTTATTTTATATGCCCCCAAACCGCACCTCAGAAGGCAAGACAAATAAGCTTAGAACATGATTTCTCAAAATGTAAAAATAAGTAAAAATTTTGAACTCCAGATTAATAATTAGAAAATAAAATTATAACTGAGAATCTTGGACAGTCTTTTTGCAGATGAAGCAGAGATTTGAAGCACCAGAAATGTGGTTCTACAGAAGGACTGCATGTGAACAAGCAATGAAGTTTTAGAGAAAATGGAAACAAACAGGATGCTTAAACTTATCATTAGGAAAAAACTTCTGAAATTTCTAGGGTGCATAATGAAGAAAGAGAGCTTGGAAAATCTGATACTCACAGGACAGATTGAAAGCAAGAGAAACGCAGAAAAGCAATGTATATTCTACCTCGTGAGCAAGAGTAAATGGATAGCAGAACAAAGTTTGAGGAAAAAATTTTGAGAGATAACAAAAAGACAGAATTTATTAAGAGTTACAAAGGACAGGAAATAGTGGAGACCCATGATCACCAATGTCCTGAAGTGTCATGGTTCAGAGAAGAATGAGCTTGAGGAAATGGTTGATGGAACAAAGTTTGAGGAGAGATAAAAAAGACAAAATTTATTAAGAGCTACAAAGGTCAGGAAATTGTGGAGAGCCACAATCACCAACGTCCTAAAGGGTAATGCTTCACAGAAGAAGAAGAAAAAGCTCAAGGAAATGGACAAAGTTTGAGGTGCGATAACAAAAAGACAAAATTTATTATGTGCTACAGAGGACAAGAAATTGTGGAGAGCCATGATCACCAACGTTCTGAAGGGTCATGTCACACAGAAGAAGAAGAAGAAGAAGAAGAAGAAGAAGAAGAAGAAGAAGAAGAATTTAATAAATCATGTTGTCCAAGTATATTTCTTTTGGCTTTCATGGAATACATCATTAAGTTAATGATGCATTCCAACATTATATGACAAATAATTCTAATCCGATATATATTCACTCCAATTCTAACCACCCTCCATCTGTAATCAAGCATATACCCTCATCTATAGAACGTAGGATTAGCAACAACTCATCTGAAAAGGATGTCTTTAATAAATATACCAGTGTTTATAATACTGCTTTAAAAATAGTGGTTATAAGTATGCTAAAATCAATATATAAAATATGATAATACTGATCTAAGTAAAAGAAATTAGAATAGGAAAATCATTTGGTACACACCCCTATTTAATCAATTGGTCAGTACTAAGTTAGGTCAGAAGTTCCTCTATTTAATTGATAAACATTTCCCTAAAAGTAATCTTCTTGGTAAAATATTTAACAGAAACACACTAAAACTAAGTTATAGCTGCACCAATAATCTTGAGAAGATTATAAAGAAACACAATAATAAAATTTTAAACAAATTTAAAAATTTGGATAATAATGCACATTCTAAGATAAATATTATTGATAATATTAACCAATGTAATTTCAAGAATTCTAACAGTCGCCCATTGCAAAATAAATGTTTGACCAACTCTCTTGTTTATCTAAGTACTATTTCTACAATAGAGAATCTGACTTGAAAACTTTTATATTGGTAGTACTAAAAATACTTTCTGAAGACTAGTTGGTACCAACATATCTTAATCTTATCCTTCACCAATAGTACTTATAAAAGTAGTAGAACTCTTTCTAAATATTTTTGAAATTTAAAAGTAGATAATAAAACTCCTAGGGTAAAATGGAAAATTTAAAAAAAGCTAGAACGTGTAAATCTTTAAATAAACCTTGTTTTTGTGCTTACATGAGAATCTAGAAATTCTCAGATTTTCTGATAAAAACTCCTTAGTAAACCAAAGACATGAATTAACTGTAAATTGTAGGCATAGTCTACCTTTTACTTTATAATATGGTTAAACTTTGAATTTGATAATAATTTTTCTTACAGTAATAATCAGTAGATGAACTGTGGTGCAGCTTAGATGATTTACTATTCTATTTGTAAGGTTCATTAAAATTTAATATAGCACTGTATTGATGTCTGGTTAGTATTATTAACATCTTATATGGATGTACAGGTGTTTAGTTAGTATTATTAACATCTTACATTATTAGTATATTATTATTTAGTATTATTAACATCTTATATGGATGCTCTTTACTTAACAGTTGCATATTAATGTGCCAAACCAATAATTTTGGGACAGAAACGACTTTATGTCCATAATACAGGGCGAAATGTGCATAAATGTTATTAAATATTATACGCACATTTCACACAATGAATGTATCAATCATTTTGGGACAGAGATTACTTCTGTCCCATCTGATTGGTACATTTATTGTATGAAATGTGCATGCAAATGTTACAAATATTATGGGACAGAAGCAATCTCTGTCCCAAAATGATTGATACATTTATTGTATGAAATGTGCATGCAAATGTTACAAATATTATGGGACAGAAGTAATTTATGTCCCAAAATAATTGGTACATTTATTGTATGAAATGTGCATGCAAATTTCACAAATATTATGGGACAGAAGTAATCTCTGTCCCAAAATAATTGCTACATTTATTGTATGAAATGTGCATGCAAATGTTACAAATATTATTGGAGAGTAATATTTTTTCACACTTTGCAAATTCCTCTTAAATTATTCAAGTTTATTCTGAAAATATCATTTTCTTGTGGAAAAACGCTGATTTATATTGCCGATAAAACATTACACACATTATTATTCACCATTTAAAAAAACAATATCCATATTGATGCATAGAATATTTTTCCTTGAATTATTTAAATCAGGAACTTAAATCAATGGTTAAAATGCAAATTGATCTTTAATCAAAACCTAGCAATTTTTAATATTCATAAGGCCTAGGATAATTATCGCAACTTTACTTAATTGTTGCCTCAATTTCTCTTCTAATGCTGACATTTCAAATAGTTTAGAATCCTCATAGAAAATGGAATCAGAGAATCAAGTTCAAATTCAAGCGGAATTAGTTTGTATCAGTTTCTATTTCTGAGATAAGGTATTTTAATTATTTACACTATTTACAAAGTTCGGACTGTTATCCTCATCTTTGTTGCCATATTCACAATGTTTCAGACATTGTATGCTGTGGCCTTTTTCAGGTGATTGGAATTTTGAACTGAACCCTTTATTTCATTTACGGTGGTAGATTGTTCTAGTTCCACATGCTATGTCTCTTTGAATATCTCAGTATCAGATATTTTCCCTTTAAGTTATTTTTCTGAATTTTTGTTCACTTCTGCTGATGCCAGATATTGAACTCACAACTCTTTTGGTCAAGTAACTGGGTTATTTCTACCAATACTTTAATCCACTGGGCCATATACCCATGAAAAACAATCTACCCCAGTGGACAATATAAAGAGTTCATTTAGAAATTCCAATCATCTGAAGAAGGCCGGAATGTACAACAGCTGAAACATTGTGAATATGACAACAAAGAGGTGGGTAAAAATCTGAACATTGTAAATAGGGTAAAATTTTAGCTTATGTTTAATATGCACTAAATTTAAGTACCATGAACATTTTGATGTAGGTG